GTGGGGGAACTTGCACAATCGGTGGCTGACTAAATACTTTTTTGCCCCACTGTATTTTGGGTGCCAGTGATTGTTTATTTACTTGTCAATAATATATATATATATATATTGTATATATACATCCAGATGAACAAAATCAACTTTTGGAGATTTACTTACCTGGATATTTGAGCATGCATCAAGATGAAATTAAAAAAAACTGTTTTACCAATATCAGAATTCTCTCTACAGTAGCAGCAGAGGTTCAGTTTTCTGAGTCAGGACAGATGTAGATATGGGAGTCAAGAAACCTAACTCTAAACCCAGGGTAAATGGCTTCAGTGAATGTGGTGTTGAAAGTGTAGAGGTGGTACAGCATATCTGGGAAGACCTTGTAGAAGGACACAGTGCCAGCATCACAGTCCACATATACTGCAACCTTGTGAGGGGCAGATGAGCAGGGAACACTGATGGCTGTTGATGTGTAATTGTGCATTGCGAAATAATCTGTATCATCACAGTACAGAGACCAGGATTCATCAGTCCTTCCAAACCTGTTGTCATCACTGTTTCCTTTCCTTTTTATTTCTTTGTAAGTCACGGCAATATGAACCTCTCCACTGTGTTCAACTTCCCAGTAAGAACGACCAGTCAGACTGTTAGTACACATCAGCTGAGGACTATCAAATCTGTCAGGATGATCAGGATAGAGCTGGTCCTCTTTCATGTGCACCACCTTCCTATTGTTGTCAGACAGTTTAAGATTGCGGTGGACTGTGTTCACATCCACTGTCAGCCCACAGAAATCTAAAAGAACAAGGCAAACGCTGTTACTACTGCAATAAACAATGAAACCTCAAATAAAACTAGGACAGCAAATGGCCTGTTGTCAACACACATTGTGGAATGTAATGTACTGGAGAATTAACTGGACATGAACAAATTTCTACAATACTTAACTGAAAAGTAGCCTAAAACAAACAAAATATGAAGATATAAAGCTACACACCTGAACACTACTGAATCCACATCAAAGGATACACTATGAAACTTTCATAACACATGGGATCACATTGTGCTCTCTTATACCTGGCATTTTTTAATTGCTATAATAACTATAACTTATGATTTTATAAGCACTTTTCACTTTTTTCTTCTCTTGTGTTAGAAATGTGTGGTCCAAATTTCCTTTTAGGTGGTGTAAACATGAAAATCAATTGAACTGTAATAGCCTTCATCTTATGTCCTGCACATTTTTTGTTGGTCTCCCCAAAAAACCTCTAAATACTCAAGAACTGCCCCTCACTGGGCAAACAGTATCTTTGTTGCAAGCTGGGTCATCAATAGCACTTTTCTGCTCTTTTGAGAACTCAAAACATTTTATAACATGCCTCATTCCCGCTATGCACATTCATAAAGCACATTTTTCTATGCCTAGATGTGTTTTTTTCCTAATGTTTGTACACAGTCACACTCAGATGGATGCATCACAGAGCAACTTGTGGTTCAGTATTATCCCTAAGAATACTTTGACACGCAGATTGTAGTAGCTAGAGATCAAACCACCAACTTTCTGATTCATGGGTGATGTGCTACAGCCATGTGAAAGTGGATATTTAATATGTTGCTGTACTTTTATTGTCGTAGTATTATGTATTATTTTATTGTGTTAGCAAAATAACTCTACCTTCCAAGACACAAAGGAACGAGATGCATGTAATATATAAGCTGGAGTGGAGCAAATTGGATTTAAATATAAAGGAATTTGTTACATGACAGTAGGAACTAACATAAAACACACTTACATTTCTTTAGACCCGTTTTCATCCACTGGTCTCCATGAGGATCCATTCTGAAATTAGTAAAGACAAAGAAAAGCACAAATGCTTTTAGCTTAAAAAACCAGACGTTTTCAACTTTTTTCCTTCACAAAAGCAAAATATATTTTCATTATTATGGTATTTTTCCTGCACAAACTTGACTCTTTACCTAAGGGTGTCCAGTCTCCAGCAGGGATCCTCCCGTAGAGGAGACAGCAGCTTTATTCCTGAGTCTCCTGGATGATTGTAGCTCAGGTCCAGCTCTCTCAGGTGTGAGGGATTTGACTTCAGAGCCGAAGCCAGTGAAGCACAGCCCTCCTCTGTGATCTGACAGCCAGACAGCCTGCAAACACAAAACAGCACATGTCACACTGGCAGAGAAAACTACCCTTTTTTAAATATATTTGACTGTTATTTGTTGGTTCTGATTTCACCTGAGAATTTGAAGTGCACATTGTGGACTCCCGAGTCCTGCACACAGTCGCTTCACTCCTAAATCCTGCAAATTGTTGTTACTCATGTCTAGCTCTATCAGTGTAGAGGACGTAGCACTGAGAACTGAGGACAGAGCTTCACAACTTGTCTGTGTGAGGTTACAGCCACTCAGCCTGGAAATGTATTAATGAGAGAATAGAAGACATCCTTTTAATATTTAAGCTGACTAAACTCTTGAAAGTAGCACTGATCGAAAACTCCCACTAACTTGCTTAGTGGTAGTTGCATACTCACAGAGCTTTTTTGCAGATTTTGACCACTGGCAGCAGTCCCAGAAGAGCTTCTGCTGAAGCTGAGTATGTTTTCAGGTCAATAAAATTTTGATTTTTTTCTGATGACAGTAAGATGAAGACCAGAGCTGACCACTGAGCATGGGAAAGATTAACCATAAAAAGGTTTCCTGAATTAAGGCGACGTTGGATCTCCTTCACTATAGAGTCATCATTCAATTCATTTAAACAGTGGAAGAGATTGATGCTTTTCTCTGGAGAGGGATTCTGGTTGATCTGATTCTTGGTGTACTGGATTATTTTCTGATTTGTTTGTGAACTGCTTCCTGTTGGTGTCAGTAGGCCTTGTAGGAGTTTCTGGTTGGATGGCATTGAAAGACCAAGGAGGAAGCGAAGAAACAAATCCAAGTGTCCATTTGGACTCTGTAAGGCCTTGTTCACTGCACTCTGGTAGAAGTGGCTTTCAGAAACATGCACTGAGACTGTTTGTTCCTCTTCCAGCAGGTTGACATTAGAGTTGGTGAATGTCAGATGGGCATGAAGCGCAGCTAGAAACTCCTGAATGCTCAGATGAATGAAGCAGAACACCCTATCTTGGTACAGCCCTTTCTCCTCTTTAAAAATCTGTGTTAACACTCCTGAGTACACTGAGGCTTCTCTGACATTAATGCCACACTCTGTCAGGTCTGATTCATAGAAGATCAGGTTTCCCTTCTGCAGCTGCTCAAAAGCCAGTTTCCCCAGTGCTTCAATCATCTTCTTACTCTTTGGACTCCAGAGAGGATCTGTCTCAGCTCCTCCATCATGCTTGATGTTCTTCAGTTTGGTCTGAACCACCAGGAAGTGAATGTACATCTCAGTCAGTGTCTTGGGCAGCTTTCCTCCAGCCTGTTTGGTTTTTATCACGCTCTCTAGAACTGTAGCAGTGATCCAGCAGAAGATTGGGATGTGACACATGATGTGGAGGCTTCGTGATGTCTTGATGTGAGAGATTATGGTGTTGGCCTC